GCGAAGGTCGACGGCGAGAATTCACCTATGCCCGATTATTTACGGGCACGCTCATAGCTCATCGCCTTTACCTCCGGGCGGTCCGCGCGTCGTACCGAAGGCATTTACCACGGGTCGTCGGTGTTAAATTCATTGCGCAACGTTGTATCTTTTATACCGCGGCACGTCGCGATGGATCGTTTCGCTCTCGAACGAAAATGCGCGCGCGTGGCGAGGAGAGGTCCACGTCCGGGAGAAATTTTCGCGCGATTTCATCCTGCGAATCCTTGTTGTTCCCTCTGCACCTGGATTGCGATTACATTTCGGCGCGTAAAGATCACGCGACATTAACGACGCTTCGACGACGGCAGTTAACGCGGAGAGCAGTTTGCTATTCAGGTACGCGAGGTAATGCAAGTTGCGTCGTTTTTCGTGCAAGAAAATAGAGAAACGAGAATATGCACGCGCGTTACGAGTTAAATATAAACGAAGAGAGAGAGAGAGAGAGAGAGAGAGAGAGAGAGAGAGAGAGAGAGAGAGAGAGAAAGAGACTTCGTGTTTTTCGAGAAAGAGAGAGTGAGAGCAGTAACGCGCGGAATATCCTATTAGATAGAAGTCGGGAGAGCCAGCCGATCGCCGGAGATATGCATCGGCAGTGCGCCTGTTTCAGAACTCCGTAAACGTCGCCGTTCTTATCGAGCGGGAGCGCGATACTCGCGAAAAACATGTTCTCTCTCGAGCCGATACAACGTCTCGCGGAGGTTGCAACGACGTTACGAGAGGTTGCACGCTATCTTTACCCGCGTAATATCTCTATAATAGCCGTTAACGACTCGGCGGGTATAACGCGCGATAAATGCGGGTAAAACGCGGTAGCGTGGATTGAAACGTTAAACCGCAAAATGAGCGCACGGCGACGGCGGCGGCGGCGGCGGTTGCTGCTGCTACGATGGCTACGCACAGCTACGCGTCCTGGCGCGGCTTACACTGCCGCTTGAATAAAGATACGCGAAACACCGGTCGAGATATTTCGCGTCCATTAAAATTATCCTACGCTCGTCTCTTTCTTTCTCTGTCTCTCTCTCTCTCGCTCTCTTTCATTCTTGTCTCAGTCTCTCAGCGTCGCGTCCTCCTGGCTGGCTCGTTGCTACGCATTATAGCTACATTTAACGATACATAACGCACTCTCCGCCGTGGCCCATTAAGACGTGATTATCCTTAAACAATAGCCTTTTCATATTCCACCAGTCGTTAGCGGAGGGAATGGGGTAGTAACCGAATTAACGAGTGTTCTGTCCGTGCGCGCACCGCCGACGTGGATTTATCGGGGGGAGCGTGAAAGAAGCGCGCTGCCCCGTCAAAGACAACGGTATCGCGTCGATATTGCCGCGGTGCGATCGCTCATTGTCGTTCTTCCTTAACCGTTAACCGTTGAATAACTCAAATGACCGTCGAAACGCGCCAGCGGCAGCGAGAAAAAAAAAGCCAACGATTGTTCCGAGTGGCCGGATGAATATGGATCGTTCAAGTTCAGTCTCGCAGGAGAGGAATGGATACCCGGGATACGCACACGGTGCGTGATGTGTTACCTTCGAGACGTGCGTTCGAGTCCCAGCTGCTCGCGTCGAACGTATCTTCGCGTGCATGGAGGAAACGTAAAAAGCTACAATATAGGACGAGAGCAAAGTGTGGGAAACAGGCGAGGCAAGGCAGACTTCACGCTCACTTCGCGCCCACTTCACGAGCTCGTTCGTTTCTTGAATATTAAGTCGAATTGATCTTTACCGAGCAAAGAGATCGTTGCTGATAAGATTTCCCGTTTTCCTTCTGAACCGGCGAGAAAAATCCTCCTACCGAGGAGAGGCACGATATCTCTTCTGCCAGCGGTGTGTATCTAGCGAGGCGGGGAGGCGTGTGCCATCCGCTAGAATCGTTACTAATCGAATCAGCCGCGTAGCTCGCTAACTCAATTTCGTCCGTTTTCGCGGCGTAATCGTGTTAATATCGGCCGGGGAAACAGGAAGACCGGGCTTACCCACCGACTTCATTAAGAGCGCGCTTCTCGCGCGCCTCGCGGGATCTCGCTGTCGCATTTACTTCGTTAGTTAAGGATCTCGATAAGAGGGAGCGACGCAACGGCGACGAGGAGCTACGCCGCGGAGTTCGTTGGCCTCGTCGACGACGTTCGTATCGAGTTACCATTTAATTTACGCAAATTTCGGGTGAGAAGTCGCACGCTAAAGTCACACCACGCGATCGCAATCTCGACAGTGTCGCGCGTTCGTGATCGCCACGAAAATATACATGTAGCTTAAGTATTGGACTACCGAGATAGATACAGAGACGCGTGAGAGTAGGTGGTTGGGGAAGGCGGGAGGCGGGAGGGCAGCTCTTGACAGCGCTCATAGTGCGACTAACTTGCGCGGGTTAACGATCGCAGTTAGATCGCGCGAAAGACAGAAAATCGGGGAAGTCGACGGCGCGCGTGATACGCCTGAGTTTTGCTAATGATCACGGTGGCAATTAGTTAGAGCCTCCTTGTAAATCTTCTCTAACTAATTACCCTTTACACTTCCAACCCCCCGATGAAGACCACACGGGCTTTCTCGGGCCGACCTCGCGGTTAAACGCTAATTATTATCCTTGTCCGCGATAAATTAAACTGCCAGAGTCCACCTTCCACCTTCGAATGGCCTCTGGTGCGTATGCACGACGCGCTTGATGGAGGATGGCACGGACGTGGAGCGGTGCACATCGCGGCCTCCTCTCGCTTGTTAGATTTGTGTTATCCCTCTATTCTGCGAAGTATTAATTCATGCCGCGAAAAATCGCGCCCTTTACTTCTCGCGCTTTGCAGCGCGCTCGCGCCTTTGCCGCGCGATGCCGCCCCGCGCTAAACGAGAGAGAGAGAGAGAGAGAGAGAGAGAGAGAGAGAGAGAGAGAGGGACCGATATGAGCACGCGCTTGCGAATAGTGTCGGCGCCGTAGCAATTTTCGCCCGGTACTTCTCCGCTCCTTTCCTCGCGCTTCGTCCTTTCACGTACGCGCCGGATTTTTCCCGCCTCGCTCTCTCGCTCGGTCTCTTAATCCACTCGCGAATCTCAATGTGTTCGGCTTTATCGACGCCTCTTATCCAGTTACGCTCCTCGTGTTTTATTTCCGGCGTATTATTCCACGGTTTATGGGCTTCTTTATGGAGTGCAATAACTTCTCTTTTTTTTTTTTTTTTTTCACAATTTAATGCCGAGCGCACGGAGAATTCATATTCAGCCGGCCACGGTCGAGCTGCCCTATCCGTTTTCCACGATAAACGCCAGTAGTTCCGATAAGTGGCGTTCTTGCGCGAGCCTATTACACCGTCGTTAGCGACGCTCATCTAATTAGCTTCGCTATAGCCCGCAAATAAAGACGCGCCGGGGTAGTAGCGGCGCGAGTCGCGTTCGCCGCGGAGGCTCCGTGAGTATTCGTAGTATTCGCGCGGTAGAGTCCGGGCGGATTCTGGTATCCGGGATGAAAGACACCGCGCGCCCTGTCGCCCTCGTAAAGTAGCCGGGACATCGACTGCCCCTTCGGTCGTTATCGTTTGAAAACGAGGAGAGCCATGTTAAAATACCTCACGTGTATGCGTGTCTCGATTGGATGCGCGAGATAAGTCGCAAAAGTCGCGTCCCTCGTCGCCGTTTCCGCGTCTCACCCTGTGATGTCTCGCCCTTGTCGTCGTGACCTCCCCGCGCCCCCCTTTTCCCGGCGGCATGTATTCGTTATCGCTAAAGCCGAGCAAAGCCTGAACGAGAGCTCGCTCTTGCCGCGTTTTAATTTTTACATATAACTCCCCGCTTTTTAACACCTTTAAATTCCATAATCGCGCGCCGAGTAAAATCCACGAAATCCTCGTGTACGAACATCGCGCTCTCGGGAAACTCTCACGAATAATTCCCACGGTAGTGTGGGGGTTTTACTGTCCGGGGGTAAGTAAGTACAGCCAGAGTGGATGAAGTTTATCTCCACCGAGAGTCGGAATTACAGAGGACGATATTCGGGCGCCTTCCGTTACTGCAAATTAAACCTCGCTCGTGGGCGGTAGCCGCCCGGATGCATTCGGAAGTATCGTTTCCTCCGTCGTCGTCTCCTCGCAGAGGCCAAAAGAAGAAGGGTAGTAGATTCACTGTATCGCCGTTGGATTCCCAGAGGGAAGAACTTCCTCCATAGGAAATGATTCGATGCGGGTGCTGCTGGTGGAGGAGTTAGCGGAAGGTCATGCCGTGACCTTCGCTCCTTCGGAACCGTCGGGAGCTCGTCCCGTCACGTAGCTTCGATACGACGCGTAATGACAGCCCGAGGAGAGTGGCCAATGGCGAATCCGGTCGCGACGTTTGAATAGATTGCACCGGCGCGCACAGGTCGGCCATCATCATCATCATCACCATTATTGTCTTCATCATCATTATCATCATCATCATCATCATCATCATTATCATTATCATTATCATTATCATCATCGTCGTCATCATCATCGTCGTCATCATCGTCATCATCGTCATCATTGAAACGTGACCGCTACCGGCATTAACTCACACGTTTCCCCGACGCAACAATCATCACCAATTTGCCGGCCAGATATTGCCGCGCGCATATGCACCCTCGTCATTTCATCCCTCCGCCCGCCCCCGTCTGCCACGAGGATCGCTCGTAATCAATCGGAGTGAATGCCCCCCAATTGACGATTTCCGGCGATATCCTCGCGTGAGACAAAGCTGTTTCCGGATGGACTTTCCGTGGAACATTTCCCACACGACGATCGATAAAGACCATGAATCTTTTCTAGTAGCGAATGCTTGTGGAATGTAGGGATAAAAAGCTAAGAGCAGGAGAGAGATCTGCAATCCTGAAGCCAGCCTCCTCATTACGCGTATCGTACATGATAACACGACGTTACAGAGAATAATTCCGCTCCCTGCGAACGTCTGCGCGCCTATTTTCAACGCGTGTAAACATCGGTTGCGTTGTTTCTCTGATTTCAGATTCCCAGATGGAGCAGGGCTACAGATCGGAGGTGCAAGAACGAGCGCTCGTGGTGTCGCTGCAGATGTTCAGCCTGATCTTAGAGCGCGGGGTATCCTTGCTGAAGGCTCAGCTGGAGAGTGGGAAGGAACCGAGGCTGGTAGTCGGCGAGGATCTGCAAGTGCTTCTACCGGCTATTAAGGTACTTTCCCTCTTTCCCTCATCATCGCGGGTCAATACGTATCGCGCCCGAGCGAAGTCTTAATTGCGTTTCACGACGCGAGTCGGCCCGTAAATCAATTTCCGAGTCGAAACGTTCACTCGATTACATCCATCGTCCGTGGCTCGTTATTACGAGATAATTAGATCCGGAGCAGTGACGATCAACCTCTTCGCTCGGCTTCTGCCGTTCGCGGATAAACATTTCGACAACTCGACGCTCTCTCGATAAATACGCGAAGTGACAGCGCGAGAAGGTCTCGTTTCCGCGCGTTTCACATGGTTGCCTGTAATTTCCATTTGCACTTCCGTCAAAGCGGAACAACTCACGACTGATCGCCCGCGCCGCTTGTTGGCCGTTACTGCTCCAGATAGCGGCGCGACTGCACCTGGAGCCAACCTGGAAGGCGCCAGGTTTTCCTCTCGCGAACCCGATCCGATCCTCCCTGTCGCCGTGGTCGCCGCCCTCGAACGAACGCGTCTCTAACCGGCGGAGAATTTATGGAGCGCCGCGAGAGAGTTTCGCACCCACGCAAGGTCTGCCGGTGGCCGGTGTCAGGTCCAGAACCCGGTTCGTTCGTATCTCGACTTATTATGCAACTCGACGTTCGCGATTAATGCACCTATCGCACGTAAGCTGTGTACACGCGCGCGCCCGCAGTCGCTTCGTCGATTAAACGTCGTTGCGCGATCGAACGTCGGTAATCTCTCTCTCTCTCTCTCTCTCTCTCTCGAGAGAGAGAGAGAGAGAGAGAGAAATGGACTCGCGCGAAAGACCGATCGCAAAACAGTACGATGATCGCGATATAATTACACAAGCTTAATCGGAAGGGTGGAGCCAAACAGTCAGAGAGATGATCGGGAATTACGTTTCGAGCGGAAACGCAAATTTTAGTCTCGTCTAGTCGCTAACATAAAAGCACGTTTCGACGGTGAAGAAGGACTCGTCGTCGGGCAGTTATCGATCTTATTGCGTTTCGTTCGTGCGTCTCGCCCGGTGTACAGCGCGCCTGTGTAGTTGTTACATTAAATAGTCCCGGCTCTCGACGAGAGAAAAAGCTGTAAGGGAGAAAAAACGAAAAGGAACAATGATTGCTATCGGAATGCGAGGTGATACAAGGAATAATAGCCGGGCTCGCGCTTACGACCGAGGTGAGACCATTAATATTGCCGATAAAGTAGACGCGATACAAGGCCGTTGGAATACGTTTCACTTTATGAGGATGGATGGACGTGCTCGATGAAAAAAGCACTTCGCGAGAGAGTGCCTATAAATAGCGAAGTACTTTCGCCCGCCCTCCGACAGTTTGAAGACTTGATAAGGCTCCGTGAGTGGAAGAAGTAAAAACTCGGCGAGATACTTTCTTAAAATAACACCTGCGTGCGTGTATACGCGGGGGAGGGGGGGATATGCGGAGAGTGTCTCCCACCCAAAGTTTCAGTCTCGTGAAACTGTAGCTTTCGTGCAACAATGTTGTTCAAACGTTCCTGCGGATAACATTTCGCAGCTTCCTACGGTGTTATTGTTCTTGGCGCGCGGAGTATCCTCTGCCGAAAAATAACTCTGTAAAAATACGACGTCAACAACTCTTTGCTTTGGCATGTCGAGTCTTTGTTATTTTATACGCGTATTTCCTTCTGACGTTTGTTTCGCCATGTTTTTGTTCTAGATTTGGTGCGACTGGATGCTTTGTCATAGCACGGTTTGGAACCCGCCGCCGTCTTGCACGGATTACAGAGTCGGGTAAGTTTGCTAAACTCGATAAATAAAGTAAAATTAGTGTGACGTACGTATATATAGGGCGTGGTGTTCCCGCCGCCCTCACCCCAAAGCGTGAAGCGTAATCTCTTTACTGTGTTTTGCAACGCACGGATAAGTTTCATTGGGATTATGTACGTGCGGGAGCTGTGTCCGGCCTCGGATTAATTACAACTTTGTTGCGCGCGCGTCGTGTTAACCGCGCGTCGCAAAGTCTAGCCGGCGGTGTTACAGGGCTAGAAGTTACATGCAACCGCGAAAATGAACGTCTCGCGCGCTCGCTCGCTCGCCGATGTTTCAGCCAACGTAGAACAAGAATGCCCGATATATCTGGAACTTTCTGATCCTGCGGTTTTGCGGTGTGCAGCCTGAATCACCATCGGCCATCGGCTTTGCAGCCGAGCGCGCTAGTATGATATTTATGATAGCTGAGAATTTACACTGCGTAAAAATACGCGCGGCCGCGTATTCATTAAGGCCTCGTCTCTCGAATGAGCCTCTCTCTCTCTCTCTCTCTCTCTCTGCCTCATCGAGGTATGCACGGTCGTAAATAACGGATCGCTAAAGAATCGCTCGGCAATCGGGAGCTCGCGGCATCTGTTTATCCGTCATTTCGACTTACAATCAGCAGCTGTTTATTCGATATTTATCGCGGCGCACGCAGTAACTAATAATCGTCAATAATCCGCGCGTGCTAATGAATCATTTCTCGGACAATGATTATAATCGTAAAAGATATAATTTCACTTTTTGCTCGCTCGACTCGCGAACGTTTTTTGCAGCGTTCCAACTTGCGTACGAACAAGGTAGCTCGACGAGCATAGCGGCTCTCGGCAGGTCTGGAGATTAATTATTACTCTTACCGTGTAATCTCGGGAGTGTACGGATGTATTATGGAGAGATTGAAATTAATCACTTTCGAATGTAATGATCTTTGCACGTTTCGGGAGGCAAGGACCGCGAAGGACGATATTAATTTGAGAATAATAGCTGTTCGATCGTCTTCGGCCTCGGGGTTCTAGCTCTTCCTAGGTCGCGCACGAACGCGAAGGCACTTAGCACATACTGACGCCTGACCTTGGTGGAACCTTAACATGCTGGAAGCGAGGGACGATCGGCGAGCACGAAGTGCTACCGATCGTGTCGAGACCTATTTGTACTTGACGAGAGTATCGTGTATCGAAATAAATTACAGTCAGGGTTACTTGCAGACGTGGACCTTCGGCACTTTGGCTTCTCGGAAGCTGCGATTCTCGTCGCACGATTTACCGAATTTCATTTCCATCTGTCGCGATCAGCTCGGCGGAGCGGAATGTACATCTTCGAAAGTTTCCCCTCGCACGACGACGATTTGCTTCGAGACCAGAAAATTCGTTGAAAATTTTCCCGGAATCCTTCTCTTTTGGCGAAAGGGAATCGTAAACGCGAGATTGCGGGGTGATCGAAGGTAGCGAAACTGCTCTCTTCGGAATTCCGTCTGTCGAATCGTCACGCGGGTGTCTCCTCCTCTCTCGTTGCGTTCCTTCGCGCGCTCATGTTCTACGAGAGCCGATATCTCTCACGGGGGGACGTGATGGAAGTGAGCGTGGCGTAGGTCACGGTCAACCGCTGCATCGTATCGAGGTTCGATCTCTCGAGTCGCGGGCGCTCGCGACTCATGCAGGTTCCCGCGGCACTATTTCTACACGCTTCTCTCACGTCGCGAATGCATAAGTTACTGCCTCCCCTTCCCCTCCAATTCCCCTTTAATTATTACCACATCGGTTCTAATTTCAAAGAAGCGAGCGCTTATTTTGCGACTTGGTCTACATCTTGCTTTTGTCAAATGAATTAATCCTTCGAAGCATCGGCGAGAGAGAGAGAGAGAGAGAGAGAGAGAGAGAGAGAGAGAGAGAGAGCGAGCGGGAGAGAGAGAGAGAGAGAGAGAGAGAGAGCAAGAGAGAGAGAGAGAGAGAGAGAGAGAGAGAGAAGAGACAGATAGATAGATGAAGGAAGAGAGAGGGAGATTTGTAGGGTGGCTTTTCGCCAACTCGCGCCGCATTCGGGCCCGTCGTAGATGTGCGGAGCGACTATTAATTCAGGTTGACACTTGAGGTGTTTTGAATTATGGCTGTTGTATCGGACTATTAATTTCGTCCCGCGCGCGCTGTGATGCCCCAGCGAATCGCGCGCTGTGAGAAACTCGCAGGTAAAGACGTCGCGACACCCGCGGCGGCCGGACAACGACGTTCCTGTGGCGCGACACGTGTTCGTGATTGTAACGTTGCCGTCTTCGAATCATAATGCTCGCGAGGGAATCGCGCCACTGTGCGATTTCGGCCGACGAATTGGCGAAGAAGAGCCGACGACGGGCTTCTGCTGCACGCGGACATTGTACGAATGACGTTTCCAGCTGGAGATTCGTCCAACCTCACCCGATGATTTTCCTCCCGCAGAACTCGCGCGAGATAATGGATTTCGACTCGAGCACCTTTCGCGCTCCTTTCGCACGACCCGTTCGGTCGCCGAATTCCGACGCGCCTCGCGCTGACTCATGCCGCTAAATAAGGGGTCCGAAAGCGCGACCTGTGAGACAGGGAAACCCCCGACGCGCCCTGTGGCGCGCGGTTGAGGGCCCGAGGAACCAGCGTTTCACAAAGGATCGCGCTCGGCGCGTTTCGAATTGATCATCCGTGAGCGTGAGCGAATACTTTTTGGCGCGCGAATACGAGGCTTGTGCACTCGTAGAGACCACGGCAGATGGGGAAGAAGAGAGAAAGAGAGAGAAACGCGCGCGAGCTCAAGCCGTTCATCTTATCGACGGCGCTTCGTCGTCGTCGTCGTCGTCGTCGTCGTCGTCGTCGTCGTCGTCGTCGTTGCCGTCGCCGCTTCGGCGCGAGTTTCGCTAATGAGATAAAATAAAAGAAGAATAAGAGCGAGAGAAAAGAGCGCGAGAGTCACGCTTGTCCGACTGATGCAATCTACCGTCCATTAAACGAGCCTCAAGGCTTCCTCTCCTTCTCTGCTTCTTCTTTTCTTTCCCCTTCTCTCTCTCTCTCTCTCTCTCTCTCTCTCTCTCTCTCTCTCTCTCTCTCTTTTCCTCGCAACGTCGTTCTCCAGCGCTTCTTTGCGTAACCAACGGCCACTATCCGGCTGGATAGGTTAATTATTGTTGCTCGTTAGCGATTAACAATTACGTGAGTCAAGCGTTTCCTTGGCAAGGACGCACGCCACGGCAGCGCAAGACGACCGCCGTCGCCGTCGCCGTCGCCGTCGCCGTCGCCGTCGCCGATCCTCTCCTCGATCTTGATCGCCGTGTTAGAACGGCTAGAACGCGGCGCGCGATTCGACGCGGACGTGGACTTCGCGACGCGAGTCTCGTGGCAGGCGCGATTAACCGATGACCTTTAACGACGCCGACCGATTAATCGCGCCGGAAACCGCGAGTGGCTCGCGCACTTTTGCTCGCAGTGGAATTAAGCGATCGGTTAAGTCCCTTCGTGATTCTCGCGCGCCGAGTCTCTCTCTCTATCTCTCTCTCTCTCGCGCGCGCGCGCGCGCGCATCGTCATCGGGCTCGTATTTTCCATCGTTAGAGTCTCGATGTGACACACGTCGGAGCGAATTGATGCTCTCGACTTTTTGCGTTACGCGCGACAGGGGATCAATCGTGTGACTTTCATTTGATGAGAAAACGGTACGAAAACGTGTTTCATGTTTCCGACAAATAGAAAATAATCGCGAGATTTTTATTTGTTTTCGAGAAATCACGGAAAGGTTTTTGTATGGTGAGGATCCGCGCGGCAATATATCGAAATTGCGCGCATTGCCAAGCGCGTATTGAAACCGCTCGCGATCGGAGACGCTGGGAATAAAAGGGCACATTCGCGTTCCTCGCTCCCAGGCACGGCCCTAGAATCCGCCATTCGTCGCGTTAGGAATTAATAATTGAACGGGCAACTTTGGCTTTACAGTAATACGGAAGTGGTGAACGAAAACGTATGCCCCGCCGCGGGTAGATCATTAATAACATCGTCGGAACGAGCCGCTAGTGTACGAAGTACATTAAATGTATAAATCCGTGATCTATTATTATTATCCACCGGCGCGGCGCATTACGCGGGCCCGCCGCAATAATTTCCAATATGTAATTCTCGACATTGGTAATAAATAGTCGCGCGGGGATATATCATATTCGCGCGAGAGCCTGTGCGCTCGCTTCTCGCACGCGCGTGCGCGCGCGCGCGTGTATGTGCGTGCGCTCACGTGCGCGCGCGCGAGAGAGAAGAGAACGAGACTGAGAGACGCAGAGAGACGCTTCGTCTTTGCGTGCTACAAATGGTCAGATATAAATTTTATCAGCCGTCCGTTTTTCAATCGCACCCACTCTCTCGTGTCGTCCGCCTCGCATTTGTATGTCTCATCGTAAATCCGAAATCACGCGCGCTCCCGCGCGAAGGGGTGCGAAAATCTGAGAGCAAAGGGCGAGGCACGTTTCACGCGTCTCGCTTCGACGTGGAAACCGCGCGAGACCACGAAGCGCCGGTGGACGCGCTTTTGTGCGAAAATCATGTTTTCGGTAAACAGGATTTCGTCGGAGGTCTCCTCCGACGAAATCCTGTTCCCCCCATTTTCTCCCTCCAGTTGCTGGTCGAACAGGGCCTAGTCTACCTTGCGGCAAGAGATCTGTCGCGTGACTGAGATCACCGCAGAGAGACTTCAAGATACCTGGTCGCATGTCAGGTGTACGCTCGAAGCCAGTAGCCGGGCCAATGAATTGTCCAGTGTGTGTCGCGTTCTTTTTTTCATAATAAAATAAATACTTGATCAACTGCTGTTTATATAGCCGTAAATCTATATATATACACAGAGAGAACGATTTAGTTGAATCTAACAAATGCTTATTTGGAATAGTCGAAATAAATTTTTTGATTGATCGAACAAAATTTTGTTTGACGTAACAAAAACATTTCGTTGGAACCAAGCTGCAACAAAATATTTTTGTTGCGTCAAACAAAACTTCGTTCGATCAATCAAAAAATTTATTTGGACTATTCCAAATAAGCATTTGTTAAATTCAACTAAATCGTTCTCTCTGTGTACAGGGTGTCCCATTTTAAAGGATCCACTCAAATATCTCAAAAACACTGCGTTAAATCGAAAAATATTTCAGACAAAAGTTGTTTGGCTTGAAGGGGAACATAAGACAGCGATAGCATTTTGCTAATAGATGGCGCTACTTTCGAGATATTCACTGATCATCAATTTTCTTAAATAGAAATCCCAATTTTTTATTATAGCATCTTTTTCTACCAACTAATTTGAACAACTTTTGTCTGAAATATTTTTTTATTTGCTTAATATTTTTTGAGATATTTAAGGAAAACTTGGTAACTTTTTCAACATTTAACTTACGATATCTCGCTAATCATTCGTCGAAAGAAAAAATAGTATTAGACGTTTTTACTTTATTTATTATCAAGAACATATTACTATAATAGTGCCTTAACTTTTATTAAATTATTAAATTAAATTAAATTAAATTAAATTAATAAAAACTTATTAAATTAAGAAAAGTTAGGGTACTATTATATATTCTATTATATATTCTATTATATATTCTTGATAGTAAATAAAGTAAAAAGGTCTAATACTATTTTTTCTTTCGACAAATAGTTAGCGAGATATCGTATGTTAAACGTTGAAAAAGTTACCAAGTTTTCTTTAAATGTCTCAAAAAATATTAAGCAAATAAAAAAATGTTTCAAGCAAAAGTTGTTCAAATTGGTTGGTAGAAAAAGATGATATAATAAAAGATTGGGATTTCTACTTAAGAAAATTGATGATCAGTGAATATCTCGAAAGTGACGCCATCTATAAACAAAATGCTATCGCTGTCTTATGTCCCCCTTCAAGCCAAACAACTTTTGTCTGAAACATTTTCCGATTTAACGCAGTGTTTTTGAGATATTTGAGTCCTTTAAAATGGGACATCCTTATATATAATATATATATTTTTTTTTTCTTGTGTTTTTTTTTATTCGAGGGTACTCGTGTCGTTATTTTTACGACGCAGCAGATTATTTTCAAGCTTCGCCACAGGTGCAAGAAGGCCCGTCGATCACGAGGCGTGGCCTCAAATGATGTTAAACGGTCTAATAAAAAATACTCTTGGCATAATTAAGGACTAGCGCCAATTCGATGCGTTGCAAATCACAAATCACGTTCGATGAGTCAGTGTCTTTGAGATGAGGTCGATTTGATCACGCGGGACGGACCTGTCTTCCGACCTTGATACCGCCGAGAGAGACCCTTCTTCGGCTACTTTCGAATTGCGTATTAGGCGAATGAGCCGTTCCTTCTTGAGAATTCTGTTGAATCACGAGGGACCTTTGTCACGAGGCAGAGAGTTGGGTCGAGATTCTTCCGGATTCTCGCTATTCTCGGCTAGTATTATCACGGGGCTTCGTAAGGACGCTTCATTCGATCCCCTGCTTTGTTACAGGCCGCCCGGAGACGCGTGGAGCAGACTAGCGACGATGGTGAACCTCCTGGAGAAATTAAATTACACCAGGACAGCCTTGATTCAAGGCAAGGAAGCCGAGGGTCGCGAGGAAGGTAAGGAAATGTCATCAGCTAATAATCCTCGCTGTCTTTTGTACACACCGAACGACTTCCGTGTGCGCTCTCTGTCGATTATTTTAGCGAAACGGCGAGTCGAAAATTGCGAGCTTCATTAATGCGTCGCGGAAACCAGATGCGTATCAGCGGCGTTAATTCGATATCCTCTCTTCGCGTCCTTTAATTGAATCCATTTCATCTGCTTGCGTCTGTGTTTGCCGTATAAATCCCGCGAATTTGGCGATATCGACGACGACAGATAAACCGAGGCAAAACCTGGAGGATTCTATGGACACCAAGATTCTCGGATCACGCGCATAAAAAAGCGCGAGAGGACGAGCAGGAACGACAATCGCGTATTCTTCAATCAAGACGCGTGCGAATCTCGCGGACCAACCTGGACCAGGCTTAATCGAAAAAAGCGCGTTCCTCGGACGGCCAAGTCGGTGCTCGGTCTGTTGACCCGTAGGTAGCTGGCGCGACGGTTGCGTAACGGTGAATACGTTCGACATGACCACTGCAGTGCCATTCTCTGCGGCCGTTTACTAGCGAGTGGCCAATGGTCTTTCAACGTGCGCGCAAGCCACGCATCATGCGTCTTCTTCCACTGTATTCTCGTCGCGCGCATGTTATGAATATACAAATTGCATTGCCCCGAAGCTCATTCACGTGCGGCCCTCGCGAAGACAACTCGACAACAGCGACGTCGAAGACGAAGACGACGAAGTCGACAACGACGACGACGATGAGAGATTCTCTCTCTCTCTCTCTCTCTCTTTCTGTCGCTCATTCTTTCTTTTTCTCTCTCTCTCTCTCTCTCTCTCTCTCTCTGTCTGTCTATCTGTCTCTCCCTTTCGTCGATTTTCCGACGAGCATGTCTCGCGAACGCAATCTCGTGTAGCTCGCCGGTGTATACATCCGACCGAATAATAATAGATATCACGAGTAAGAAAGGCAGAGTCGCGCGAAGACGCGCCGCGCGAGTTCGCCCGGCGAGAGAGCGAGCCCGTCTCGCGCGCGTAGCCACCCATCACAATTAATATCCGTCCGGAGGATAATTATGACCGATACATCGGCGATTAATATCGCGCTAGTAATGAATTCGCTTGTTCGATGATAATCCATTACGCTCGCGCGCGGCGATATTTTATCATTTACGTTATATTCCCCGCGTCGCGGCGCGAGATACTTGCCGCAGCGTGTGTCGATCATTCATTAGCGGCGCGCGAGAGACTTTGGATCGGGACATGATGAAATGTAACAATGAGGCGCTAAGAATAACGCGGTGCGCGTAACGCGTAAGAGAGAAAGAGAATACGCGCGCGCGAGACGACGGCGAGACGGCGAAGCGCTCGAAGGCGCTTCTTATTGCGAGAGGCGGATTCTTCTCTCCTGGCTTGCCAGTCAACGCGCGATGTCGCGTTTTGTTCTCCGCTGATTTCACGACGCGAGCCGGCGAACGTGAAATCGCGATTTCGCGCGGCAGTTATCGGCGATGAACGCGGCAGGTCGCGCGGAGGACGGAAGCGCGACCGTCCGCGAACTTGGCCGCGTACGTAGCTACGAGCGGGTCTCTCTCTCTCCAGGGGGATCCTTTTTTTATTTTCGTCGAATCGCGAGTTCGGTCTCGAACTGGGTCTTCCAACGGGTCCGGTCGCGTGGAAACGAGCGTTCCAGTTTCGCGGCGCGTCCTTGCTCGCCGCGGTACACTTACCTCTAAACCGAGTATGTGCGCTGGACGACAAGCGCGCGTCACTCATAGTGAATATCGTTGCGCGCACGTATCACCGAGGCAGAACCGTGATCGCTGATCACGGCTGACTAGAATTAACAAGCTTGTCAGATCCGCGGCTGAACCGTGCCGGCGACCGAAATCGATTGCGCGCGATGGGAGACTCCCGTGTTATTATAGTTGCTGGAACACTGAAATTTACGGTATTTTGGATATTCGCGATCGCTCCTGGGGGGAGCGTATTGGGGCCAGGGTTGTGTGCGCGAAAAATCATGAATTTTGTCGGAACGCCGACACGAACGTGTCCCGTCGCGTTATTGAGCTTTAATGCCGGGCACGGAAGGCTGACGGCTCGTCAGAACGCAATCGCATTTTACTGATTCTAAACGCGCGGCATAAACATCTGAGCTCCTTTCGCGATACGTGATGTGTGTCTTCGCGCGTGTCGTTCGCGTAAATTTAGGGTCATCGCAGCTAGGCGAGCAGCATGCCGTCCGAAGAGCTTCGGATTTGGCATGAAACGGAAAACTCGCTTGCATCGGTCGCGTCGCGTGTGACGGCGGACGTAAATCGAATGTCGCTTGCCGTTTGTTTCAGAATTGGAACTCGTGAAACTGCCGGAGGACATCACCTTGGCTGGATTCACCCCTCTCATGCTGAATCCCCAGGATCCTTGTTACGTGGAAAAAACGGAGGATATGGTAAGCATGCAATTCCAAAGTTACAGCTTGGGCATCTTATCGATGCGCTTCTTTCGATAGCAAAATTAAAAACAAAGAAAACTTTGCTATTGATCGCGAATAAAGAAAAGAATAAAAATACCGGACTCGCGTCTCGATCGGATATCTCTGAAAGTCTCGAAAGAATTTTTTTACATCGACATCGCTCAGATGTATCATCCATCTGCGTTGTGTGCCGCATGTAGTCCATGAATCGCTTAAACTTTCGCGTTTCAGGAAGTGGCTCAGGTGTGCCTGAGGATAAGCAAGATTCTCTTCTTCGGTCAAGTATTCTTGTGCGGCTTGGAGACACCAGTGCTGAAACTGCAGAAGAGCGAGATCGGCGTCAGCGAATACGTCTCCGTGGTTGAGGCCTCAAGCACGAGTTCGCCGAGTTCGCCGCCGGAACAGGTACGTAACTGTCGTAAATCTCGAGTCCCACGAGAAAACGCGCGTAGCGCGCGCGCGCGCGCGCGCTCGCTGAGCCCCGCGGATTCCGGATCCGATCTCCCGAAAGCACCCGGCGAAGCCGAGAGCGCTTGAGCGAGACGATCGCGGTCCATCTATCTCGAGGCTGTCCTTAATTTATCCCGATATTGCAGAAAATAACGGTGAAAGGACGAGCGCAACAAATTTCTCTTAATAAAGATACGTCGACCCGCGCGCTCAACCCTGACAGCGAGAATTCTGTTTAATGCCAATTTGACCAACGTCATCAGTTATAAATGCAATATATGTGTATATATATATATATATATGGTTTAGATTATCGCGATAAACTCAATTCTTGCCTCGAAAGCGATATAAATATTAATTTACCATTGCGTCAGAGGGACTTTGAAGTTAAAAATATCGGATTTCTTCTGCTTCGGGATTTTCGGTTAAATCCGGTTGCCGCCACGGCTCGTTATTCCAGGAACAAATTTCTACGACGGAATTAATTTACCCCCAGAGCGACTCAGAGCTCTTAGTGGAGAGTTACAGCGAGGGTGAGGAGGAGTCGATTTCCAAATTGAGGAGATTACCCTCGTGCAGCGTACCCGATGAATCGACGGCTCCTGTGGCGGCGATCGAGATAAGGTCACTGATCGAGAGGAAGGAAGAATTGGAGAGGCGACAACGGAAACAAGATCGACATCGACAGCGAGTGCAGGTGAGTTTCTCAGAATATCTTACAGCATATTTCGTCCACGTACACTCAATTTCACGGATCTTTCAATCGATAGTTCGGTAATTACTAAAAGATTTCGATCAGTCGCATTATTTCTAACTAAATGTAACTTGTGACTGTTCAGCAAATTTAGAAAACAGAGAAGCTGGTCGAAAAATTGCAGTAATCGCCAATGTATCGATGGTAAGATCATCCACGAATGTGCATGATCTATCATTGATTTGTCGATGCGATAAATGGCGGCGTCGGTTGATCGCTACTTATTACGTTATTGCGTGGAAACGCTCGATCAAAATCGCGATCGTTGTCGCGCCGAGCTGCAACGACAGAGCGTGTTTTCTTCCAAGCTGCCAAGCTCGCTGTAATCACGACGGTATATTGTGCGACAAAATCAATCTTTCACATGAGCCGCTGGATCGCGCAATCTATGATCGGCTGTCGAGCGAGTCGCCTAGGAAATTGGCGAAGAACCGCGCCATTTCCAAATTTAACTCACGTCGCGCACAACTTTCCGTCGATAGAGACATCGATGTGAATTTCATCGTCGAACGATCATATTTAACCGCGACACCAGTCCGACCACCTCCCCGTTCCCACGTTTCTTGCGCGTTCCACGTTTTTTTTCTCCTTCGGCTTCGATCTTTGAGAGTGGAAAGAGAACGAAAGGGAGAAGGGCGATCGAGTAACTTGCAAAAAACGCATTCATTGGGGCTAAGTCGAACTAAATCTAGAGATTACAACGCGTTGCCTCCTCGTGAAAGAAGCAGAAGAGCCTGCCACCCCTCCCCTCCCCTCCTTCCCCCTGTTCGTCTTTCTTTTCGCATTCCTCCACCCCCTATCGCACCACCCTTTGCTGTCGCCGTCCTTTTATTTCGAATCGCGATCCTCTCGATCCTCTCTCGCCGCAGACTCTCGCAGCACGCAAGCCCGCCGTTTTTATTTACGGCATCGAAACTCCTCCTTTTTGCATATTTATTATCCTACCCCAGCTTGGGGCCGGATTTTGTGCATACTATGTGGTCGGCCGTGCACTCTCTATCCTTCTCGGCCCTTGCGAAGCGATATTTTTCTTCTGGAAGAAAAAGAAGGAAGGAAGGAGGGGAAAAAGAGAGAGGGCAGAAAGGAGCAGGCCAGCCTACGGAGATCCTGTACACACGCTGGATTGTCCTGTTTTTCAGTTCCATTTTTTTCGGCCCGAATATAAGCTTCGCATTCGAACGGTAAGCGTGCGAATACAGATGTACGCGTGTTCCGAGTGAATTCAACGGAACAAGTATAATAATGGAAAAAATGCGGTCGGCAGTTTTGAATATATTAACAAGTCGCGCGAGAGAGGTGAGAGGGGGAGAAACAGAAAAGGGGCAGCAGCAGAAGAAGTAAAAAAAGAAGAAGATGCAGAGCGGGATATCCTCACGTCGTTCCCGATGGAACCTATCAAATTCAAGACTCCGGAGCGTTGCCTCTGCCGATTTTGCTCGGGCTGCGAGACGCGCCTCCGGCGTCGGGAAAATTCACGTGAGCGATCCGCCCGCGAAATTCGCCCCGCTTGCTTGCTTCAGGTTTATCGGGTTTTCCCACGGCATCCGAGAAGGCGGTATAAATATTCTCCCGCGGTATCTCCTGAATTTTTCGAGCGGCGCGCTCTTATCAGGAAGCGAAACTGGAGGCGAAACATACACGACACGGAGATCTCGCGTCTTGCCCCCGCATCCCCCCCCTCCCCCCGGGCCGTATGGAATTGTTTCGAGGATAAAGTTCGACGGTAGTCCGGCGTGACCCCGTCGCGAAATAAATAGCCGCGATATCGTGGCGTCGGTAGTTTGTTCGACAGCCCGATGCAGTTTTATCGCCGCTCGTCCTTCTTCCGCGCGGCGGATGTCCCGCTCTTTTTTCCTTCGACTTCTGTCGAACTGTTCGCATTCGATCGGCCTTCCTTGCTCGCGGCGAGCTCGCATCGAGTTGCGATAACGGGCCAACGCTAAACTGCCCGCGCCGTTTTTCACGCCATTTTGCCCGAGTTTTCTCCTTTGGCACTAATCGAATGGCCGATCAGGGTTTCCTCGTTTCACCTCGGACGCCTGTGAATCACGTTCCGCGATTATCGCGCGCATTTCTACGAGATCCCTGAATGAAAAATCAGAGCATTCGGCTCCTGCGTTCTCTCGTCGCGCGACGTTTACTGTCGAGATAAGTGTGCGGTTGGAATGATCGGTCGCCGCACAGGAAGTGTTCTGAAACTCATCTCTGTCAAGTTGCCACTTGCAATAGAAAAAATAGGAATAAAAACTGCATTCTAGTTAGAACATATTTACGAGGCGATGACACAGAACAGAGCTTGATTCCGGCAGTCTCTCCGGCCAAAACGAATTCCTGCTGCAAACGAATTATTGGAACACTAAAAACGAGGGTTCAGCATGAAATCAGCAGCTAATTAAGGCTCAACTCTCATACAATTCCCATTTCGATATTTTGCATTGCAAGTGCCAAGTCAACACATCTGAAACCAGCCTATTTTAACGCTTGAATGAACCCGCCGCGGAATGTAGAACAATCCTGTTGTGCACGCGCGCAACAGTTTTTCTCGGAACCAGTTTTTCCACCGACAACGGTGAACCTGAATTATGCCACTCGCCGTCGAATGAATTGCGCTTCGGTATCCCGCAAGCTTCAAATTGCCTTAACGCAAATTGGCCCTGAGCGCGAAAGAATGAATGCTTAATTGGCTGGCGAATTTCGCGCGCGTGTCACCGCCGGATATCGCGCGAGCCGGTTAAACCGCAATATTCAAACCGGATTTTGTCATCAACTAAAAGCGGCGATGATGATTTTGTCACTTTAACCGTATTTCTCTCGCCATCTAGTATTTCCAGACTGACGCGGCGGGTAGATACCGTTTTGCATCTGCATTATTTCAACGAGCGAGCGAGCGGACGAGCATCGCTAACCGCTGTATGATGCAGCTGACTGCTGCTGTTTTTTTTCGCGCTGACATAATTAATTATTTAATTAATTTATATAATTTAATCGACTTAATTAGCTTAATTAGTTAAATCATCGTCGAAGCAGTCTGGTTCGTCGCGCGGACTTTGCAACACGCACGTCAACTATCCGCACGAGCGTGGAATTTCCTGCGATCGTGTCGCAATTGAATCGCGTAATTTTAGCACGCCGACAGTTTTATCTTTCGCGTATGTCGAACGACGACTCCATATCATTCCGCAAAAGCGTTCCACAAACGCACAGCTGTGTTTTACGCGGGACAATTTTTTGCGCGAACTTTTTGCTCATCGAACAATCAAATTCGCATTTTGCTCGGCGCTCGCTCGTCGCGTGCTATTGCATCGCGAAGAAACTATAACCCCGTTGGTCGCATCGATTAAAACGATATTTCGCCGCCCTTCTTCTACCGCTGCTGTACGTACGGACAAGACAGAATGGGGGAGGGAGAGGGGAGAAAACGAATATAGAAAGGGGAGAAAAAAGAATGATTTACGGAACGATTTGCGGAACGGATAAAAAGACGCGCATGCTTGTACGCGGATTGGCCTGCAGCCTAATCACTACGTTCGGTGATAATAGCATTATCTGAGAGACGCGCGTGTTGCGTCAGGCAGCCGGAATGTACATACAACGCGAACTGTAACCAATTAATCCTTCATCTGCATCGCCCGTGGTCTTCGATGATATTTCCTTTTTGCGCACGGCGGCCCGTCATGCTTGGTCGATGAACCATGGACGACTCACGGATTCAGGATAACATCGTAATGCGTCTTAACCATGGGTTCTTTCGGTACGGCGGGTATTTAATAACCCTCTTTCACTGCCGAATTTTTATGTCTCGTAAGAGAGAGAGAGAGAGAGAGAGAGAAGAGGAGAGCAGCAAGGAGAGAAAGGAGAAAATATCCGCGCTTTTCACACGAGTTGCTCTCAATAAACGCTCCGACGATTTTCCGTCGGAAAACACCAGTTTACTTATTCGCAATTAGTCAGACGATGCTCTCTACTCATTGCTCGACTCGCTTTTCTACGGAATAAGCACTCGGTCTCCAATGCTTAAGACATAAGTGGATTTCCTTTCTCACCTCGACTAGACTCGGTGGTTCGTTTATGTACACGAAAACGCGTTAATATGCGTCTCGTGCGTCGCTCGAGAGAAGCGGAACAGCTCGGTGCCATAGAGAACGTCCGCTCGTTACGCCTGTGTGTCCCGCTGTTGAAATATCGAACGGGTTCGGCTTCGTTGCGGTCGGACGACGAAGATGACCGGGCGCGATCTACGGACACGAGGAAAAAGAACGGAATGAACTCAACGGCGTGTTCGCAAGGGCCGAGCTAACGGTAACTCACCGTGATACGAAGGATGCTGCAAGAAGCGATTCATTTCTTCGAGACATTTTTTAGTCTCATGTATATACATATACATACACATACACAAACATGTATGTGTATTGTCGCCTTCGTTATCGAGTCGCGTTCGCAGTTTCGTTTAATTTCCATTACAGGATCGACGATGCGATATCGAGGCGGCTCGCTTTACCGTAACCGAACTCGCGCGTTACATTTGCGCGAAATTTTCAAGAACCGGCAGAGAACCGTCCTGCGTCTGTACGTTCCTCGAGATGAGTGTGAGGCACCAGAGATGTGATCGAGGCTGCGATTTGTGCGAGAGCGATAAAAAATATCGCGAATGCGAGATGAACTCGCTAAATGGATGATAATACGGTTCACCTCGTCGTGCACGTGCGTTCGCCGGGCATTTTGTTCCCCGAGTCGGAACCGAAATGATGAAACGATCACTCACGTCCCCTCACGCAGAGCGCACGCCTATTGCGATCCCCCCGCGTTCTTATACGTCAATACCTGGCGACTCTTTCATCCCGGGGCGTAATAACGTCGTGTACTAGTGCTCGGGTACTCGGATCTCGAGTATCTAAACTGGCTCTGCGAGAGCGCGAGGAGGTAGAAAACGGCTCCAACGACCT